ATACAAATGAAGGCATGTATATATTACTCTGAGAATGACATTAGGCATATATATGTGCAAGATAGTGTATAACGCACACAACCATGGATCACCATGCATGAATAAGTTCATGAATTCATTTTCAAAAATATAAACGTGAAGATGGGTGACAGTCTATATATATGGTGAGCGATCATTATTCGTGACATCAATGGTGTGGAAAATGAGAATAGGTTGCACTAACCAGATAGCGCTTTTAAAAACGCATGTAGATGATGATATCATCTAGGTGTGAGCATCTGGACCCAGGTATTCTCGCTAGTAACAGCATCTATCCCAGCATTTCAACAGGGTTTCCGAATAGCAGAGTTCTGATTGTAGACCACCATAGGGAGCCAGCAACCAGGATCTCATCAACCAGGTATCCCAAACGGTATGATGTGTTCACCGACCACCAGAGGGAGATAGAGCTTTGGAGAATATCCCACGATTTTCTTGGGGAAAATTGGCTCAGGAAAAAAAGAGCCAAAAAACAAAGATATCTAAGTGCAGCATTGCCTTATTCAAGTGCAAAGAAATGGTTAAAATATAACTCACATGATATGCAAGGGCCTGTTGGCCAGACAAAAGGGATCGACGTGGATAGAAAGTCACTGAGGGCAGCTTTGATGTCACGAATAATGATCGCTCACCATATATAGACTGTCACCCATCTTCACGTTTATATTTTTGAAAATGAATTCATGAACTTATTCATGCATGGTGATCCATGGTTGTGTGCGTTATACACTATCTTGCACATATATATGCCTAATGTCATTCTCAGAGTAATATATACATACCTTCATTTGTATTTGCTTTGTATTATTTGTAGGAGGGCTGCAGGTTCATTTTATACATATATGTCATTCTAAGAGGTTTCAGAGGTTTTACCTTTTCTTGCTAGTGGCTCCATTACATAGATCTAGCGCTCGTTTTTTCTTGACAATAGTACATAGTTCACATCTACCTGACATGCTATTATGTTTTAGACCTGACATGTTTGTTCCCTGAAGAAGGAAATATGAATTCCAAACCGCATTGGATTTGTCTAGACAACAACACCACTGTAATAGTTCCTATGAGCTGTTAGCATATTGTTCAGTTGATGTAATACAGACTGTCAGGAAATCTGCATTGTGTGTATGTTCTATATGTAAATTACAGTTGTGTCCAAAATTATTCAACCCCCACTGAAATTGAGTGTTTTGGCCAGTTTGACATTGCTTTTGATCATTCAGTCATCTTGCTTACATTTACATTAAAGAGGCACTTGTAGGTCAGACAAATATAACATAACAGTTATAATGAAATAACCACAAATGTCTTTTCTGTGCTCACAGCATTATCAGTTTTATTCAACCCCCAAGTGACATTCAATCTTAGTACTTAGTACAGCATCCTTTTACAGTTATAACAGCTTTTAAACGTGAAGCATAGCTTGACACAAGTGTCTTGCAGCGATCTACGGGTATCTTCGCCCATTCTTCATGGGCAAAGGCCTCCAGTTCAGTCACATTCTTAGGCTTGCGCACTGCAACTGCTTTCTTTAAGTCCCACCAGAGGTTCTCAATCGGATTTAAGTCTGGTGACTGCGATGGCCACTCCAAAATGTTCCAGCCTTTCCTCTGCAACCATGCTCTAGTGGACTTGGAGGTATGCTTGGGATCATTGTCCTGTTGAAAGGTCCAACGTCTCCCAAGCCTCAGGTGTGTGACGGACTGCATCACGTTTCCATCCAATATCTCCTGGTACTGAAGAGAATTCATGGTACCTTGCACACGCTGAAGCTTCCCTGTACCTGCAGAAGCAAAACAGCCCCAAAGCATGATTGACCCTCCACCATGCTTCACAGTAGGCAAGGTGTTCTTTTCATCATAGGCCTTGTTCTTCCTCCTCCAAACATAGCGTTGATCCATGGGCCCAAACAGTTCTAATTTTGTTTCATCAGTCCACAGAACACTATCCCACAACTTTTGTGGTTTGTCCACATGGCTTTTGGCATACTGCAGTCGACTCTTCTTATTCTTTGGAGACAGCAAGGGGGTACGCCTGGGAGTTCTGGCACGGAGGCCTTCATTACGCAGTGTGCGTCTTATTGTCTGGGCTGAAACTTCCGTACCCACATCTGACAAATCTTTTCTCAGTTCCTCAGCAGTCACACGGGGACTTCTCTCCACTCTACGCTTCAGGTAGCGCACAGCAGTCGAAGTCAGCATCTTCTTTCTGCCACGACCAGGTAGCGTTTCAACAGTGCCCTTTGCCTTGAATTTGCGAATGATGCTTCCTAAGGTGTCTCTTGGTATGTTTAACATCTTTGCAATCTTCTTATAGCCATTGCCCTTCCTGTGAAGAGAAATCACCTCTTCTCTTGTCTTCCTGGACCATTCTCTTGCCTTCACCATGTTTGTAACCACACCAGTAAATGTCTAGAAGGAGCTGAGTATCACAGTCATTTTAAAGCTGCCTAATTGGTGCTTATTATGCTTGATTGCTGCTCGGTGACATCCACAGGTGTTTTCAATACCTGATGGAAAGCACCTGTATGAACCTCTGTTCTTCAGAGTGGTAGTCTTTAAGGGGTTGAATAATTGTGGCAATGAAGAAACCACATAAGAACCATTTACTACTGTATTACATAAACAATTGATGTCATTTTAGTTGCATTTGGGTAGTTACAACGTCCTTGTAGGATTTGATTCTGAATACAATTCCAAATGTACACTATAGTCCCTAAACCCCTTTACAGCATTGGGGGTTGAATAATTTTGGACACAACTGTATGTACCATTGTATTGGAATCTACTTCATCGAACCCATTGGCTCGCTTTTATTATAACAATTTTTGTAACAAACATTATCTTTTTATACTCTCATACTATTTGTGTGAAAAACGTTATATAAATTTTATTTAGGTACAGCGTTGCATGATCGAGCAATTACCAGTTAAAGTAGCTCAGTGCTAAATAGCAAAAAATGGCCTGGTCATGAAGAGAGTAAAATTTTCTGGAGTGGTTAAAGTGCTGACCCTGTCAGTGTAAAGGGGTCAAAGATGGAATTACCCATTAAAGTAATGTAAGAAGAGTTGAAATGAAAGCGATGCTGCCAAACAAGCTGCTGATCAGGCCTGTGCTTTTAATTCACCCTAGAATAAATACCATTGTAGGTCCAGTTCACTTCTGGTTTGTTTACTTTGTTGCCAGTCAAGTCCTTATGAAGGGGGCACTAAGGTCCCCAAAAATTCGTTGGCTACTTCTTGAATTATACGCTTGACCTTTAATGGAATAAAGTTGTATTTGGACCACTTATCAGTGGTGTGGCACTTTAATTTCAGCTCTTCTTATATTACACTACAAGCAAAGGAGACTCTGAAGATTCTCTGGGGTGTAGAAGCCACCTGCCAGGAACCAGCGCATTTACACCAACATCAATACCTTAAGATAATACCAGTACAATAAACCTACGGTTCCAGCGCTATCTTTATACTTTCCTTATCCAATAAAGTGACCTTGACATTTTGGAGCAGTTGGAATTGCTAGCAGACAGCAAAGGAAATTTGTCCCCTCTTCATGAGCTACAGCTTTTGAGTGTGTTTGTAGGCAGGTTGCCTACAGTATGTTAGTTGGGAGGTAGCTGGCCCAGGTTGGGGAAGGGTTAATGTTCTCCACACTGTTCCTGGGTTTTTTGGACCATGGCTTTGTGATATAAAAGGGGAGAAGGCCGTGTTTGAGACCAGTCTCTCCAGGTCTTACTCATCCAGCTCATGGAGTTGCTGTAGCGGTTATGGAACGCTAAGGGGGACTGCTGTGCCAAACAATGGAAGACACGGGAGCTGAGAGAGCTACGAAGCCTTGGATTACACCACTAATGGACTACTACCTTGTCGAGGTATGCCTGAGCAGCCTAGTTAAGTTAGATACAAGACAACAAAATGTCTCCCATGGGACTTTGGCAACAACATTAATACAATAAAGAACAGTATTTTTAATCAAAAATTAAAAAAAAACTAATCATAAAAATCAGAGTTTTCTATTATATTTTCATAAAAGTCTTTCCATAAAATACATGGAAAAACTTTTATGCAAATATAATACAAATTCCGATTTTTATGATTCAGTTTTTTAAGATTTTTGATTAAAAATACTGTTCTTTATTGTATTAATGTTACTGCCAAAGTCCCATGGGAGACATTTTGTTGTCTTGTTGTGTTAGTAAGGGATGTAGCAGCATGATATTCACAATACCATCACCTTTCTATGTAAGTTGAGTTAGATAGGGGATGTTGTACTGTAATGTTCTGGTTGGACTATGCCATAAAATGTTCAGTCGAGTTGTGTCAACTGTTTTAATCCTGGCCTGAAGTAATTCAAAGTGGTGCTTTAAGGTTCTTGGCTTTTGAATTTGAAACTAGGCTCAGTAAAGTACATATGGGGTATGAAGCAAAGCAACTACGGAAGGTATACTCGGCAAAACCAGCTAGAGGAGTAATGCAGTTATTATGGGTAAGCCGAAATAGAGCAAGGTATGTTGCAGCCTGTCATGAAGCGTGGTACCTAGCAGGGCAGAGAGTCCTCCAGTAGCTAGGGGGATGGTGACCTGGCCTCCTCAACAGTGATTGGCTCCCCGAAGTTATAGAGACCGAACTCGCATTACAGAGACCCACAGCTTAGCTGCATGGTATAGGAGAGCCAAAGGAATTAAGTGGCCCTGCCCACAACTTGGAAAGCATAGTGACAGGGTCACTTTAAGATGCTTTTAGAAATGCAAAATGAAATTCTGCTTTAATTAAACTCAAATTATTTACCACTTTTGGTGGAATGCTTTAATCTTTTTTTATAAAGCAATACAACAATAAATATACAATGACTTTGAACTGTTTTAAGAAAGAGCCGCAGACAAAGATTTATGGACGATAAAAAGTGCTGAACATGAACAGTGTCTCCTTCCATATTGCATTAGTGTCCCATCTCTGGTCCACAATGTCACACAGTTGAATTAGCCAGACTTCTCATGTGAATGGTTTGATGTCTGACCAAGTGTGAGCTTCTGGAGAAAGCCTTGCCACATTCGGCACAAGTAAAAGGACGTTCACCAGTATGAACCTTCTGGTGCCTCACCAGATGAGAGCTGTGACCAAAACACTTGCCGCACTCTGTGCAGAGGTACGGCTTTTCTCCTGTGTGGACACGCTGGTGGATAATAAGGTTTGAACTGCTTATAAACCGTTTGCCGCAGTCATTACAGACATAGGGCCTCTCCCCTGTATGAACTCTATGATGCATAACCAGGTAAGACCCACTGATGAAACTCTTGAGACAAATTTTGCAGGTATGAGGCCTTTCACCGGTATGAGTCCTCTTGTGCACAATAAGGCTAGCATTTTGAGTAAAGCTCTTTCCGCACTCTTTACAGATAAAAGATTTTGGCTCAGTCTGAACTCTTCTTTCTGTAACTGCACTAGAGGTGTAGATCACATGTTTTCTCCGCCGGAGGCGGCTGTCTGTAGGTTCATTAGTTTGGACCCCTTGGTGCTTCATTGAAGTCACGTTACTGCCATATTTGACGACTAAGTTTCTGTGTTCAACATGGCTTGCTTGGTGTTTAAGAAAAAGGGAATGCTCATTGAAATTGTCACCACATTCGCTGCAAGTATATGCTGTGGGGTTTAGGTCACTCTTGCTTGCTACAAACTTGGAGCTCTTATCTTGACGCTTTGTGGAAGGTGGCTCTTCTGCAGGTGAGCCACTTGTAGGTTTCCTCTGTTTTCTACATGGCCTTGATGGAGATCTGATACCTTTATTTAAGGAGGTATCTAATAAGGAATAAAATGTAGTGAACAATAAAACAAATGCAATGGATTATTTACAATATGATGTCACATATACAAGTTTGATGAATTGATTCAGTTTGATGAATTGATTCACATTTATTTAGAGATGCGTTTCACATTGTCTGAACTGTGTAACACAAAGAGAATTAGTGCACATTTATTATTACACTGCAACACACCAAGGACAGCACCATCTCAGCCTCTGTTTGGATCCGAAAGTGCTCTAGTGCTACACACGTGATTTTATGATTTTAAAAATTTCAGCTTGCCTCTGGTGATAGCTGTTACAGTTGCCAGTGTGCTTACTGTATGTCAGCTCTCAACTGATCTTTCAAGCCCCTTATATGACTACTGTCATAGCCAATAATGTAGCAAAAATCTAACATCCAGGGCTCAGGTGAATCCCGATATCCTCTCAATAAAAATCATATATACAATAAATCCCAGCAGCTGGAATGTCCGCCCCCTCAGCAGGTAGACAGATAGACAATATAATTTTAAAAAAAACAGCGCTCTAGCGTGAAAACAATTTTACGCCATTCCAGCTGCTATGATTTATTTTGAGAGGGTATCGAGATTCACCTGAGCGCTGGGTATTAGATTTTTACTACTTATATGATTGGCCATGACACCAGTCATAAAAGGGCTTGAAAGATCACTTGAATACATACACCCTTATAATAGTACCGTTTTCCTCCTCTGGACCGTGTGTAGATAATACTTCTCTGGCTTGGATGTTTTGTGGCTACATCTTGTATATTACTGTCTATAAACAGGATCGCAAAGTGGAACCATACTTGATATAATCTCTAGTATAAAGCATACTGGCACTATGTTGACTCATCCTCTATCCATGACATAGATCTGGAGGTTCAGGAATCCAATCATTATACATACTTGCCAACTGTGTATAAGACTGACCGGGGATCAATACCTGTTCAGCATGCTGCGCATTTAATAAAACCTTGTGGCCACTCTGTCCATCCCTATCTGTCCTCTATGACTGTCCCTTTGTTCTGAGAGTTCTCAGCTTTGATTGGTATCTAATGGTTTTAGTATGAAGATATGAAAATCATATACTGTATATGCATAACTTTGATCAGAGATATCCAATTATTCGTTAGACATGACCCTTGACACTTTTTAATGAGTATGTTTATATGTCCAAAGTCTACTTGCTTAAAAGTTAATTGTTAGTCAAATATATCTATCGGTATAGAAAACTTTGTTCATAATTCTTCATTTTTTTAATACATGATTTAGAAAATTCTTTCATTGGGTTGAGATTCAAAGCCAAATCCATACTTTTTACGTGAGAATCTTCTGGTGTCACTTGAAAGCTGACAAGCACACTGGCTTTTGTGACCATTATCACCAGAGGAATGCTGATTAATTCTCCAGATCAGCATCCAGACACTCCCTGCAGCTCTGTGTGCTCTGGTATCTGATGTTAGTTCCACAGGCACATTACCAACACTTTACCACCCTTCTAGAGTCAGAAAGTGGGCATCTAATTTCAAATGGTTTAGTGACCATAGAAAACATTAGAAAATACTTCAACTTTTTATGGCTAAACTAGAACATTTCTTCCTATCAATCGTCTCACAGAACCAAACAATATTACCCTTGTGGCTGGTCCAAAATCATTGCAATAATTACCTTCAGTCCAGAGGTTTCCCCCCACAGTGCTTTTTTCTACCGCTAGATGCCCTCAGTCTCATGGCTAGCACCATTCAACACATTTCCTCCAAGTCATCCTGGACCCACCCCAGCCTTTGACTGGACAGTGAAAGGAGAAGCAGCACAGTGATGAGCTCATCTCTCTGTCAGCATGCCTTGTGCCAGTACATAAACTGATTGGCTCCTTGTACTGCTTCTTACTCTCACTCTCCAGCCCTGTTCTACAGGGACTGCAAGAGGTTGATACCAGGTCAAATGTAGGTACTTGCACTGCATTTAATGCTGTATTGATGAATACAAAGCTGCAATAACTAAATTTAGTTATAAAAGACTCTTTATTTGAGTTCAGCTTTAAACACATTATTATTAATAGACTACTAATACTCCAGAGAGAGAGAGAGAGAGAGATAATTTTACCCCTATACAAATCATTAGTAATACCTCATCTGGAATATGCAGTTCAGTTTTGGGCACCAATTCACAAAAAGAACATTGGGGAACTGGAGAAAGTACAGAGAATGGCAACCAAACTGATAAGAGGAGAGCATAGAGGAGCTCAGCTATGAGGAAAGATTAGAGGAACTGAATTTATTCTCTCTTGAGAAGAGGAGATTAAGCAGGGATATGATCAACATGTATAAATACATCAGTGGTTCATAGAGTGAACTCGGTGTAGAGCTATTCACCCTGAGGTCATCACAGAGGACAAGGGGGCACTCTTTACATCTGGAGGAAAAGAAATGTAATCTCCAAAGACGGAAAGGATTCTTCACAGTGAGAGCTGTGAAAATGTGGAATAGACTCCCTCAAGAGTCGGTTCTGGCCAGCTCAGAAGATTGCTTTAAAAAAGGCCTGGATTCTTTCTTGGATACACAGAATATAACTGGATACTAACATTTATAGGTAAAGTTGATGCAGGGACTATCTGATTGCCTCTTGGGGGATCAGGAAGGAATTTCTTTTCCCAGCAGGAGCAAATTGGATCATGCTTTGCTGGGTTTTTTTGCCTTCCTCTGGATCAACTGTGGGTATAGGATTATAACTCTTTTTTTTTTTTTTTTTAATGGTTGAACTGGATGGACTTTTGTCTTTTTTTCAGCCAGACTAACTATGTAACTACTGACATGGACTGACAATGGCATCTGAGATAAATGACATTGACTGTGACATTAGTATTAGGAAGTCTGTAAAGCTGTATTATATTCATACCTGGGGAGGAGTATGTCTGTCTTTTCCTCTTGTGTGTGTATAAATCACTACTCACGCACAGCTCCTCTCCACTCTGAATTTTGGATGCAGTCTCCGGCTTCACATACAGGTAACCTGATATATGAGAATTTACATATTTTAGTTTTAAGTATTATTAAACAGGTATAAGTGAAATTATAAATGTCTATTTAACACAACACCAAACAGCTTTAGATGTAAGGAGACTGTAAGGATCTGTATTGATGGCTGCAAACAGGTTTTGCGTTCCCATACATGTCTATGGAATGGCAAAACCCACTTAAAGGAGAAGTTTGGGGTATATAAAAAACAAATACACATACTCACCTCTATGTCCCGTGTCGGCTCTGAGCCCAAGAACTCAGTACTAGCTCAGCTCAGAGCAGAGAGCAGTGACTTCAGTCATTGCTCTCTGCTCTGCCCCTCCAGTCACATGCTGAAAGCTGGAGAGAGCTGTCATCATGCAGCTGGGTGGATCCCAACAATATGGTCGGGATCCTTCCAGAGCCTGGAGTGCCTCTGTGTCATCAGCTGACCATGGGCAATACCCCACTATAAGTTGATTCGGGGTCATAGAAGAGCAAAAGTAAGTGCACTCCTGTGACCCAGAAAAGAAGTAGGCCAAAAAAGCTTTGATTATACTCCTCCCTTAAAGCAGTAAAAATACAGGTTAGAAATAATGATAAGCTTGGGTTTCAAATCATGTTCAATCCAAACCCGAAAGTTAGCTATCCATGCTGGAACAATGAGGTGCAGGAGGGAGATTCCCTGCCCCCCAGTTGGGGCAGTTGCTCATATGTAGGAGGGTGGAGAGCAGGGTTGCCACCTCATCCCTTTAAAACTGAACATATTAATTACACAGGTTCTGAGGCTAATTTAATGCAGGTAAGACACTAAGTGAGTTTAATTACCTCCTAAATCAGCCACAGAACCTGTGTAATTAAGATGTGTTCAGTTTTAAAGGGATGAGTTGGCAACCCTAGCGGGGAGGCTTGTGACATCATTGACCTAATATGGCCACATAAGATCAATGACATTGACCTAGTATCACCATGTGCCTTTATTAGGTCAATCATGTCATGAGCGTCCCCGGCTCTTTGTGTACGTTAGCTGTGCAGTGGAATTGACAGTTGGCATTGACAAGGTCTCTGAAAAATTATTGGAAAATATTTCAGTATAAAAAAGTGAGCACATGGATATCTGTGTAAACAAAATTCTTATAGAATTAAGATCCAACAATAGTGAGGGTTCCTTGTAATGTTTCTAGGTGGCTTGAACCTAAAACTCTGGTAGTAAGATAGAATTATCACCAAAATCACCAATCTGCATGAGAAGCCATTCAACCCATCTCTATTTATAAAAAAAACATAGGGGCACACTTTAGGGATCCATTGTGGTGCGTTAACACACATATTGGGTATAAAATTGCATGGTGCAAAATCAGGTGCAACGCTGCATAGAAACCAATCAGCTTCCAGGTTTTATTGACAAAGCTTAATTGAACAAGCTGAAGTTTGAAGCCGATTGGCTACCAAGCACAGCTGCACCAGATTTTGAGTGCTCCAGTTTTAGTAAATCTCCCCCATTGTGTTAAGGCAGCTTGTTTATTATGAATAACCTGCCAACCCTCCACAGTGGATCAAAAAACACAGACGACCCCTTATTAGAAATGCAGTGCACTACAATGCATGGTATGTGCATTGCGGCATGCTGTGTTATGCATTGCACTCAACTATACAGCGCAATGGGATGACAATGAATGGCGCTGCAACGCACCACACAAGGAGCAAAGTGCCTTGT